TATTTGGACTATTATTACTATCACGTTTTTCTTCATCCCCAGGGGAGCAAAGCCCCCCCACCCAGTGTAGTGCCTTTTTCCTTCTATACACCTTTTACCCAATATTTATAAATGTTTTTCCACTCCCCATCCAACCACAGAGACATCCTGAGAACTGTTTGCTTGTCCTCAAGAATATCTAAAGCAATCATTTGAAAAGGTTGATGCAATGAATAAGGACGATTCTGACAGCAAGGGACACACCAGAAAGGAAGATGAAGAAGACCACCCCATCTATCTGGCCAAGATAACCACAGAGACAGGAGTGGATATAGGGTCTCCTGCTCTGACTTCCTCCAGCACAGGATCCACAAGATGTAATAATACATGATGTAATGACACATTGTTATCACTCACTGATCCATTTTGCCTATCTTTGAAAACTAACCAAGTAGTAAACCTGACCTCTCACTATTGCAGAGGAAAGGGGGCTTTCGTGCCTTCTCAGAGAGAAGGGAGCAGAATCGGAGATGGAGAAGTTGAATGCCTTGTAGGCCTCAGAGAGTAAGAGGAGGAAGGCGGACTCAGTCGAAGTCTGCCTGTCTCCCATCAACGTTCTGATATTTACTTTCCTCCTCCTTCTCCTTCTTTGCTTTTTAAAAATTGTAAAATACACATAACAAAGAATTTATCGTTTTTAAATTAATGGACAATAATTACTTTTTAGTAAAAATTCTGGGTGACTTTGGTTAATAAAATGATATAGGTTTCAAGTCTACAATTCTATAATATTGCATTCCGTGTTCACCACGCAAAGTCACAAAACTAAAAGCAACAAACAAATAAGAATTTACCGTTTTAACCATTGTAAGTATGTAATTCGGTGACATTAAGCACATTCACATTGTTGTGCAATCGTCCAACTCTAGAACTTTTTTATTACCCCAAACAGAAACTCTGTCCCCCTCGAGCAATAACTCCTCATTCCCCAGCCCCCAGCAATCACCAATCTGCTTTCTGTCTCTGCGAATTCCCTTATTCTGGACATTTTATCTCATTGGGATCATGCAATCTGTGACCTTTTGTGTATGGCTTCTTTCGCTTTTCAAGGTTCATCCACACTGTAGCACGTATTAGTATGTCATTCCTTTTAACGGCTAAGTAATATTCCACTCTATGAACGGACCACGTTTTGTTTTTCCATTCATCTGTTAATGGACATTTTGGTTGTTTTCACTTTCTGGCTATTGTGAAGAACGCTATTATGGACATATCTGTGTACAAGTTTTTGTTGGAGTGCCTGTTTTCTCTCTACATCTTTTGCCTGGTATTTTCTCTTAGAAGGCAAGAACCTTATCTTCTTTAGCTAAGTAATGTGCCTGGTAGGTGGCTTTTATGTTAGCAATTGTGGAAGCATCTGTGATACCGTGATTCATAATAAGGAATGTATACTTGGTCTTCATCCTCATTCCTGGCACAGAGCTCCTAAAACCCTTGGAATTGCCAATGGCGAGAGTGATAAAGATCCTTTGTTATTTAATGAGGCGACTTTTGGAAAGCACCTAAGGATGGGAGCTGGTTACCAGAGAAACCAACTCTGTGACTGGAGGGTCGGAACTTTCAGTCCCAGCCCCCACCTCTGGGGAGGGGAGATGGGCTGCAGATTAAGTTCGATCGCCAATAACGATTTAATCAATCACGCCTATGTAATGAAGCCTCCTTAAAAGCCCAACAGGATGGGGTTCAGAGAGCTTACAGGTTGGGGACCCCGGATCCGGAAGGACACTGGTTCCTGTTACTCAAGCAGCCCCAGAACTACAGCCGTCCCCCCTCATCCATGGGGTATATGTTCTAAGACCCCTAGGGGATGCCTGAAAATGAAGATGTTACTGAAGCCTATGTATACTATGATTTCTCCTATACATACCCACCTATGATAAAGTTTAATTTATAAATTAGACACAGCAAGAGATTAACGACAACAATAACAAACTGGTACAAATACAACAACATATCGTAATAAAATTATGTGAATGGCTTTGGGGCCAGTTAAGTAACATAAGGGTGACTTGAACACAAGTGACTGTCAACCTAATAAATGAGCCAGCTAAGTGACGGACGGGCAGGTAGTATATGCAGCCAGGAGATGCCGGACAAAGGGATGGTTCACATTCCGGTGGGATGGAGCGAGCTGGCATGAGATTTCACGAAGCCAGTCAGAATTGTGTGGCATTTAAAACTTAAAAGTTGTTTATTTCTGCAACTTCCACTTAATATTTTCAGGCCCCGGGTGACCTCGGGTAACTGAAACCACAGCAGGGGAAGCTGCAGGTGACGGGGGAACTACTGTGCTTCCCTTTCTCGCCCCTCGGTTCTGCTGCTCTGGAAGCCACTGAGGCTTGGGAATCTTTGCCCGGGTCAGGACCCAGATCCATGAGGGTAGAGAACTGGGTCCCTCAGCTCTTGGATGACGAAGCAGGAGAGCTAGGGACCCAGACTCCTGGCACCGAGGACTGCATCTCTTTGAGCCTCTGTCTTCTCATTTGTGAAACGAGCCTGTTAGTCCCTCTCGCAGAGCGTTGTCCGCACAGTGAAAAGAGACAGAGTGTATTCGCACAGCTCAAGGCCACTCTACAGGAAGGAGGACGAGCGATCACGACACGCACCGCACGACATGGCGGAATCTCACGGACGTGATGGTGAGTGAAAGCAGCCAGGTGCAAAAACGCTGTGCGATTGCACTTACAGGACGTGTCAACACAGGGGAATAGTGCCGACTGGGGTCAGACAGTGCTTATCCGTGTGTGCGTGTGCGTGTGCGTGTGCGTGTGCGTGTGTAGGTGACTGGAAGGGGGCAGGTTGGGCTGTTCTTGACCTGGGTGCTGGTTACACAGTTGTGTGCACCCTGGGAATATTCGTCAATGTGACGTTTATGATACGTGCAATGTTCCGTGTGCATATTATACTTCAGGACGAATGTTACCGAGAGGAAAAGGATGAAGGGAGGGAGAAAGGAAGAGGGAAAGGAGGGACAGAGACAGACAAGAGGAGGTAGAGGGTAAGTTTCAGAATTTTCTGCAGCCGAACAGATGAAGTGGGGTGAGCTGACCCTGGACTCAGGAGCGACGGTGAAAGTCATTCCTTGTCCTTCCTCACTGGCACCCCCATCCACACATCTGGAGGCACAGAGGGGAGGCTGGGAAAAACACCAGCACCGCAGACGGGAACGGCTGTGTTCTCAGCACGATGGTCGTCGGTGACCTGAAGCACTTACACAGTGCCTGAGGCAGAGAGGCTGCCAGTGACAAATTCCCTCCATCGTCGATATTATTGCCATGGGCTAGAGATGGCCTCGGTCTCCCAAGTCTCAGAAGAAGCCAGGGACGGTGATTTCTGGGCCTCTGACACGGTAGAGACCCGTGTCCGTCCCCACGTGCCACGCACCCATATACCCACGGGAGCGACACCGGTGATGCGTCGTGATGGCTCGTACGGGTTCACAAAGAAACGGCTGTTAAAATTTCAGGAATTTTATGATCCTTTATGAGAAATCAATCATATAAAATTGCAATTAAATAAGTGATATTAAAAAAACGAAGTCAAGAAATTCTTAAAATTCATCACTGCCCAATGACTTTGCCACATTTTGATGAACAAATGAAGTTCCAGCATTGATTTTTTTTTTTTAATCTCACTTTTTCTCACTTGTTAACAGAAACAGAAATATCAGCCAGGATTTATGGTGAAACAGCACTTATTTACCAGTGACAGGAGCTGAACTGGATAGCAGTCAAGCATTATTTTCAGTCTGGTTTTGTGCCATTACTGATTGCGACAGAACTATAAGAATTAGTACCAGATTTTATAAGAAATGGTAAGTTGCCCTGCAACTCTCATATGGAATCGACAATAAAGACTATCATGCATTGTATTATTATTTGCAAACTGTGTGCTCCCTATTCTTTATAATCAGTAGAATTTATCATAAACATACGTGTTTCCATACAGACCTTGTTTACCTAGGGAGAGCTGGTGGTTAAACGTTTTACCATCATACCGCAGTGTGGAAATCACACGTGCTGAGGGTTCTGTAAGCGCCATGTTCAGATCCGGGCTCTGTCACTACTTGCGTGATCTTAGACAAGTCACTTCCCTTTTTAAAACCTCAGCTTTCTTTAACAAGGGAGCTATACTAACTATCTGAGAGAGAGCTTTTGGTCAGAGAAAACCGAATATGAAGTGGCTAGCCCAGGGCTTGCCATCGATATGTACATGGCCACCACCAAGCGTCCCCCTGTTGCCACCTCCGTCAGTCAAATGCCAGTGCACCAGGCAGACACTCCTAATCCGAAGGGCTCCCCCTGAGGGACAATTTGAAATAGTCCCATTTCACAGATGAGGAAAGAGAGGCTGAGGTGAATGAACCGGTTCCCAACCAAGAACACGCACGTAACCAGCTCCTCCCCGGGGCCACCCGTTCCTCCCACGCCCCAACATCGTATCCTTCTTCTGACCCAGACTGTTGTGTGCCTCCCACGGAGCCTCTTCAGGCCTTGGTCGAGGCCAGGCGGATCCAGGACGCGAGGTGAACCACGGCAGCTCGGGAAGGGAGTAGAGGAGGCACAGAGCCAAGCCACGTGTGCTGGAGAAACCCAGGTCTGCAAAATTGTCTGTCACAGCTCAGAAGGTGATGGACTCAAGGGGCCGGGCCTCCCCCGTCGGCATGCTGCGGTGAAGACCCCAGATGCCTCCTCCCTCAGGCCCCACAGTCCAGCCTCCAGCCTCTTCCCTTAGACCCAGCAGCCCCGGCGCCAGCCCCTCCTCCCTCAGTGACCTTCCTACCCGGCGCTGCAGTCCCTTCTTGCCTCACAATGGCCAGGAAACTTCTCTTTCCAGATCTGTGCAAAATGAGACCCCTCCTGTCTTGCTTCCCTGGGAGAGGACAGAGCTGCCTAAGAAGGTGGTCTCTCTCCCTCTCCCTCTCTCTGGCTCCGTTTACCTCCGGGGAGCAGGTGGGAGCAATGGAGGAGGCGGTGGCTGTGCCTTCAGCTGCTGGGACAGGGCTGCGGGCAGACAGGACCATCCCCTCCTCCTCGCAGAGGCAGGTCAGCGAGCCATCACCACCACCTCCCTCCTTCCCAGGATGTTGCCAGAATCTCTGAGGCCTCAGTGTTTTCCAGAACGTGGGGGTGTGGGAGGAGCGGCCTGTGTGACTTCAGCAGCCCAGGGCTCCACCGAGAGCTCAGGGGGCCAAGCCTCTGATTTCCTGGAAATCCAAGGACCGTCGGCTTAACAGACTTGGGATCTTTTCTCCCTCAGTTCTACTTCCCTGGGGGTCCTCAGCTCTTCCTTCTCAGGAACAGCCACTGGGGGGTGGCTGAGGACGAAGAGCTGCTGGGGAGACTGGGGTGGGGTGGGGGTGGGGGTCAAGTTTCTGGGCTCTGGCCCTCCCCCTCCCCACTTCCTCCCTCTCCTTTTCCTCCTCTGCCTCTTTCC